TGGTCCCAAGTTAATGAAATTGTTTCCATGTATCTTTATTTTCATGAGAAGATTTGTTAAAATATCTCATGAAATTGTTTCCATGTATCTTGGTTTTGTTCATTTGTTGACATTTTTGCCTCAATTGTGTTATAAGAGCTAAGTACAGAATTCCTTTTCTAATTACTTGATATATGGACAATTTTTATTTTAGTTTGATTGTTCCCCTGTTCATGAAACCATTTTCATGTATCTTGGTTCATAGGTTTTAAATTCTCGGTTTAAATTGATGGCCAAAAATATAAGTTTCACGGTATATATTCACTATTTTCTATGGTTTGCTTGGATTTGAAGATACTAAGTTTATTTATTTTTCTTTTATTGTGTTGTGTGGAATTTGATTTGGTTCTCTTATTTATACAACCTAACTAAAAAGATTGTTGCTTGGAACTTGAGAGAAAGGAAGATAACAAAGTTTGGAAGTGCTGCTTCCCCTGTTTTGTTTCATTTCATGACATTTTCCTACTTTGTGAAAAAATTAAATTTGATTGTGTTATAGGAACCTATTATTGAACTTGTTCCCTTGAATTTCGATTTGATTTGTGAACTTGTTAAATTTTAGTTTTACTGGTTCCATGTTAATGAAATTGTTTCCATGTATCTTTGTTCGTAAGACCATTCCCATGTATGGTTCATATGTTTATTTTCTCCGTTGCAATGCGTGGAAAAAAATTCACGGACAAAAATAAATGGTTTGCTTACGTTTAAGTTTCCTTTTTGTGGACTCTTTTGATTTGATCGTGCTAGTATCGAGCTTATTCCCTTGTAGTTTTTATTTGATTTCTGGATTAGAGAAGTCGTGTGTTGTTTGGATCAAAGAATTGTTTGCGTCATATTTCTTTAACCATGACTTGTTTTTTTCCATTTGACTTGTGTAAGAACACCGCTCCGTCGCCAAATCCTGGTGCAATTGGGGGACAGGCAGTGGCTCTAAGGATAAGAGGAGACAAAGTCGCGTTTTATGGATGTGGGTTCTATGGACATCAAGATACGCTTCTAGACCAAGAAGGACGACATTTCTACAAAGAGTGCTTCATCGAAGGATCGATAGACTTTATTTTCGGTAATGCAAGGTCGCTTTACCAGGTACACCAATGTATTTCTTAATGTCTTAATGTTCAAGTTCACATATAAAAAGCTTTACGTGTGTTAACACTTTGAAAACAAAACAAAATTTAAGGATAGCACAATTAGCTCGATTGCAAAGGAGAATACAGTCGGGTGTATCACAGCAAATGGAAGGGAATCGCAGACCAATCGAACGGGATTCGTTTTTCTGAACTGCAAAATTAAAGGCAGCGGGAAAGTGTGGCTCGGGCGCGCATGGAAACCTTATGCGACAGTGGTCTTCTCTAGGACATATATGTCTCGAGTCGTTTCCCTTGATGGATGGAATGACATGAAAGATCACAGCAGACAAAGGTTCGTAACAACTAATACGTGTTTTTGAGGATTGTATGCTATAGAACTTAATGGGGTTTGTCGTTCAGGACGGTGTATTACAGGGAACACCGGTGCTATGGACCAGGAGCAAATCACAGCGAAAGGGTTCCCTACGCGAAGCAACTCACGGATGTAGAGGCTGCTCATTTCACCAACATCTCATTTATCAATGGAGGCGAATGGCTTTAGATTAGTCCTCTGTTTATGTTCTGTTTTAGAACTTTGTTTTTTGGGTTTTGTTTTGCTAGGTAAAATATTAAATGAAACAGAACCTGATGGTTAAGGTCTCATCTATGTAATTTCTTCTCCCAAGTTTGTCAAAACAATTTATTTCACCTTAATCTTATTAACATGTGGAAAGAATGAAAACCTTGTCTATAACCACTTCTGTGATAGCTTCACAAAGGACATCAAGGGGAAATTATGTAGCAAAATCCTAGGCATTGTAGATAATATCAGCCGTTTACAAGATGGAGATTCTCTACTATCAATATCAAAATTTAGCAATCTAACTATCCAAAATCTTTCAATACTTAACGAAATCTTCTACTTTTGGATATTTGAAACGTTACAGAACAATGGAAGTTGAAGAATTCAAGGGTACCTACACTCATAACTCCATAAAAACTTTGACTTCCACAGCAGAAATGATATTACACGAGCTATTCACAAGACTTATGAGCCAAAAAATGTTAATCCTTCCTGAATGAACCCAGAAGTGCAATTGACACGAGAATGTTAACATTAAAAGTCAAGAAACAAATATTTTTCCATTTGATGATCATCAAAGCATAGAAGATGTGCACACCCAGCTCAGTTTCAAACAAATCTCAAAACCACGGACACAACGACCTAGAATATCTTGTAATTCGACAATGAATAATGACTATATATAGTTGAAGGGAAGAAGGTTTGGAGTTTAAAACCAAAGTAACACATATTATTCGATTAAAAACGAGATTAGGTATAATCATCTGACAATTTCTCGAGAAGGATCATTAGTGGAATCCTTCGCCATACAATAATATCTAATGTGAAGGAGGGGGAGACGGCCATGGCTCTCCCATATATTTTCTAACACACCTTTCAAACCCCTTCGGATGAGGCTCGTCTTGACCTGCCAATATCAAGCAATATGTACTTATGATTATTGTTTATAAACGAATTGAACCAATTTCGACAAATGCGAAAAATAGACT